CTCTCCCGCTCTCCCCTGTTCATGCTCTCTTTCTCTCTTTAAAAACAAAAACAGGGGTGCCTGGGTGGCGCAGTCGGTTAAGCGTCCGACTTCAGCCAGGTCACGATCTCGCGGTCCGGGAGTTCGAGCCCCGCGTCGGGCTCTGGGCTGACGGCTCGGAGCCTGGACCTGTTTCCGATTCTGTGTCTCCCTCTCTCTCTGCCCCTCCCCCGTTCATGCTCTGTCTCTCTCTGTCCCCAAAATAAATAAACGTTGAAAAAATATATATAAAAACAAAAACAAAACTGGGAACGACACAAATGGATTAGCAAAACATAGTGAATTCATTCATTGGAGACCATCCACAGTAAGAAGGGACAAGCCACTGATAGTTGGAACCACATGGATGAATCTCCATGTGAAGCAAAAGAAGATAAGACAAAGGCCAAAGGCTACATATCGATGTGGAAACGTTGGGGTTCGGAGCTGTCGGCCTACAAGGAATTCTTGAGACATCTTTGGTCCAAAAAGGTGGTTTTACTAAAGCACGAGGACCAGGCCCCTGGACAGGAAGAGCTTCTAGGACATTCTGGAAAAGGCAAAAGTGTACAAAGGGAAAACAGATGAGGGAGTTCCAAGGGGTGAGGCCATAAGGAAAGGTTGACTACAGAGCAGCCAGGAGAAATTTGGGCGGTGATGAGACACTTCCATTTCTCCATTGTGGTGGTGGTTACAGGACTATATGCATCTGTCAGAAGTTGACTGTACGTGAAATGGGGCGCATTTTACCGTATGTAAATTATACCTAAACCGTGAAAAAAGATACAGGAAATGAAACAAAAGCTCAGGAATATGGGACTCAGGACCCATGGGATACCACGCAGCCATTAAATGTTCTATTTTGAGTGGAAGCATATTTAGGGTCCTGAGAAAAGGCTCGTGGAACGTTAAGAGAATGAAGCAGGGTGGCAAACTACATTTGCGGTATGATCCCAATTTTGTAAGACGCGTGCGCACTGCTGGCAACGACGACACGCTACGTGCGCTACACACGTGCGCGTGTAGAAGAAAGACTAGATAAAAATACACGGGAATGTGAGCAGTGCGACGCATGGACATCCGGACCACGGGTGACTTTGTCTTTGTGAATACTTTTTGCCCGGTTTTCCAGGGTCCAGCTGAACCTTCGTTCCTTTTTTACAACGAAGCGAGAAACATTAACCTTGTTATTTGCAAATATTATAAAGGGGCAGGAGCAGCCTGGCTGTCCTGACCCGGAAGTGGCGGGTTAGCTGCACCCAGTTTGCTTGCAGTCAGTTTTGCATTGGCGATTGAATGCCGTTGGGCTCCGGGCTGTTTGTCTTGGTACCTCCCAGCCAGCCCGCCCTTCAGGTTTCTGCGGCCCGGCCATCTCCGCCACACTGGACCTGACCTCACAGTGCTACCTATCCTTTCCTCAAAGCGGTCAGTGTTATTTACGTAGTTCTTCGTTCATCTGTTCCGATGAAGTTTTGGGGTGACGGTGGAGGGGTCCGGAGCCGACAGCCAAGATACAATTCTTGAAGACGTCTTTGGTGCAAAAAGATGATTTTATTAAAGCCCGGGGACAGGACCCGTGGGCAGGAAGAGCTGCGCTGGGGTCGTGAGGGGTAACTCATTACACGCCCCCCCCCCCCAGGTTGGCAGGGGGCAGGGATAGAGTAGATCTCTAAGGTATTTTGGAAGCAAGGTTTCCAGGACCTTGAGGGGCTGGCTGTGGCCAGGGGAACGTCATTTATTACTTAGTAAAACCCCTGCAGAAGGGAGAGGGGGGCCGTAAGCTTGGAGTAGGATTGCCAGCATATATGCTGGGGCAGTTGAGATAAGGAAGTACATTTACAGGATCCTCGGTGGGGATAATGTTAGGCTAAGACCCTCTTTTGCCCCCAGCAGAGTGTCATCATCGGGGCAGCTGAGCTCCTGGAGGGAGGTCACTCTTGGTTTCAAGGACTTGTCGATGGGCTGTAGGCAGCAAGGGAATTTAGTTTTTCATTTGCCTGAGTTTCCCCGCGGCACCAGGGCAAGCACTTAAACCCCTTGGCTTTGTTCTTGGGGGGCCGGGAGTCTCCGAGGAATATTCTACCGGGGGTGGGGGTGGGGGCGCTGTTAGCCTGTACTTTGTGATCAGGGTGCTTGCCCCACGCTCCCTAATCACGTTCCCCCCTTCCTTCATTTCCCAGTCCTTTCCACAAAGGATTCGAAGAGGTCGAAAACACTAGAACCTGAATTTCACTGGATGGTCCAGAATGGATGTCATCTCATCTTTTCAGGTTAGCTCCGCGAGCGCCAGAGCGCTAGAGACAAGCTCCGGGGCTGGAGATAGGAAGGCTCAGTCCCCACACCAAGCGGCTTGCTCTTCCTGCCCTCAGTGACAGTGAGGTGGGGCGCTCCAGAGCACAGGGGAGGGCCTTTCGGTCAGGCAGCGATCTGCTGGGGAACTGGGTCCCGGACGTGTCCTTTGCTGAGCGCCGCCAGGGGGGCGGGGGCGGGCACCTCCTCGCCCTCACAGTCCAACAGCACAGCCTAGCGGGAATGGCTTGTACTGCAACCCCTCCGCGTCTGAACGCCCGCCTGGCCGGGTGGCAGCTGTGGCCCGTTGGGCAAGTTCCCCCAACCTCTCTGTGCCTCCAGCTCCTTACATGTAAAACTAGGAATGATCTCATGCACGTAGTTCATGGGGCTGCTGTAGAATTCAGGAAGTTAACAGACGCTGAAGAGGTTAGAACAGGGTCTGGCACAGAGTGAAATACAAATGTGAACCACTATTGTTCCCATTTTATCAATGAGCAAACCAAGGCTTAGAGAGACAAAGTATTTCAATCAAGCTCACGTAGCTCATTAAGGTCACACAGTTGGACCAAGTCTGAGCACAAGGACTGTTACCTCATGGTCCATGCTTTTTTTTTTTTTTACTTTGTAATGTTTATTTATTATTTTCTGAGAGACAGAGAGAGAGCAGGAAAGGGGCAGAGAGAGAAGGAGACACAGAATCCCAAGTAGGCTCCAGGCTCCGAGCCGTCCCCACAGAGCCCGACGCGGGGCTCGAACTCACGGATCGTGAGATCATGGCCTGAGCCGAAGTCAGACGCTCAACCGACTGAGCCACCCAGGCGCCCCTCATAGTCCACGCTTTTAACCACTAGCTTCATTTTTATGCCTTTGTAAGACTGTTGTTAAGTTTCAGGGAAACAAAAATCTTTTCTCAGATTTTGGTGCAGAAAAAACCCAGCCTCCTTGCATACAGTTTCATACATGGATGAACACATGGGGTCTGGAGGAAGGACACATGCCCAGCGACTGGTCGGGGAGGAATTGGACTCTCCATCTGAGATCTGCTTACCTTGGCAATTATCGGCTTGAGTCGGGATGACATTCGGGGCTAGGCTAGACTGCCTCCTCAACAGTGTTCCCCAGATTTGTGTGTTTGTCAAGCAGGTTCTCACTCTAGCCCCGCATGATCATAAAAAAGAGAAGTTAGGAACCGGTTCCCCATTTCCCAGATGAGGGGGAGGGGCTTACCTGAGGACCTGAAGCTCATTGGTTGACACGAGGTGCCCATCTGACCCTGGTGGGACATCTCTCCCTCTGCCCGGTGGCTGCCCCTTAACCTTCCCCTGCCCCTTGCATGGGAATCATGGGAATAGCCAGGGATGGGATGTCACATTGGTCTGTGTCCCTTGCTCCCTGGGCTCTCTTTGGACACATTTTCCCCACCTCCTTGGGCCAGACCGTGGTCTATCAGTCTCTGGGTCCCCAGAGCTCAGCTTCCACGCCCCGGAGCTGGGTTAGACGCACCCGCTGGTCATATGAACAAATCAAGGAATACATGGAATCGCTGGTACTTTTGGCGGCTCTGACTTGCTGGTTGGACCAGCGGTTCTCAAAGTGTGGTCCTGGATCAGTACCGTGGGACTTGCTAGATAGGCAAACTCTGGACCCCACCCCCAACCTCGTGACTCAGAAACTCTGGGACGTGGTCCAGGAAGCTGGGTTGTAACGAGTCCTCCAGGGGCTCGATAGCACCTGCTTTTTGGAGTTAGGCACTGGAGTTGAAACCCCAGCTCTGCCCCTAACCTGCTGTGTGGCCTCATGCAAGTCAGTCAACCTCTCTGGTTTGTTTCCTCATCTGCAAAATGGCGCTCAGACATAACGAGGAGGTTTGTATGACCCTTTGCCGAGAAAGGTGCTCAGGACTGGACCCGACGTGTAGCTGATAAATGTTAAGCCCAAGGCTGGATGGAAACAGTGGGCTGAGAAACTGCCTGTCCCCTGCCCGTGCGGGCTCAGCCTGGCTCCTCGAACTCTGTGCTTGGCAGTGGCCCCACCTGGTGCAGGATGACCTTGTGCCTCAACAGCAAGCCTGCCAGATTCCGTCTGGCCTGGGTCTGTCCTCCCTGGGGCAGCGGAGCGCCTCTATCCCAGCCCCAGATCCCTCCACCAGTGGCCCACATCTGTGTACTGGGCGCTGTGGCCTGGGCCCTGCTGCTCACTCCCACCAGAGACCACAGAGGTCCAGCCCGGAAGTCGATGCCTGGCCTTCTAAGGGAAAACAGAGTCCAGAGAGGGGCACACACCTCCTGCAGGTGTCTGGGGAAGGGACGCAGCGGGCAAGGCACCGGTCCAGCAAGGTCTCCTGCTTCCGGACACCCCCCAAGATCATTCCCATTTTATGGAGAGCGAGGCTCTGAGGTTCAGGCACTTGCTCGGGCTTCAGGCCGCACAGGGGTGGGGGTCCTCCCCGGTCAGTCTGCAGTCCATCCCGACATCTTGCCAGGCAAGGGATGCTTCCCACCGGAAGTGGGGGCAACAGCTCAAGGACCCCAAGTACTGTGCCCCCAAGAGCCTTGGAGCTGGGTTGGGGCCCTGTTTGTCCGAATTTCCTGAGACTTATAGGGTGGCCTCCAGAGTCCACTAGGCACCTCCTCCTCCCGGGTGTCAGAATGACTCGGTCCCTCCCTGAGCTTCTGGAGTCCCCTTGAGGCAAACTTGTGTCCTTCCTCGCTTCTGTCCTGGCACCGCTTAGCCTTGCATACAGTAGGTGCTCAAGAAATACTCGGTGAGTGAATATCACCCAGGCAGAGGGCCAGCTGACTCCCCGCCAGGAGGGGCTACTCAGGGTCAGGCGCCGCTCAGTGCCCCCAAACCATTCACTCTGCGACCGCGGGAATTTCACTCCTGCCCCTGACGTGGCCCGTTTCCCCGTGAACAAGTAGGGGGGGTGGTCCCGTGGCCCACAGGGACCCTCCCCAACCTCCCCCATCAGTATGCTGACGGGTTGCAGGCAGCCGCCTCCAAGTCTGCCCCCAGTCACAGCCCAAGCCCACAGGTCACCCAGCAAACACCAGACCAGGCACGTAAAGGGTGGTAAAGGGTCCTGCCGCGAAGCCCAGGACACGGGCCTGCTCGGAACTCGGAAAACCTAGTGTTTTAGCTCAAGCTGCTGCAGAGCGGATCTCTGCCTGGGTCACTCAGCCAGGGCTTGCTGGCCCTCGGGGCATTCCCTGGGGCTTGGACGGGAGCTGAAATACCCTTTCCCACCCTCTGCTGAGGGGAAGGGACCAGGCAGGCAGCAGAGGGTCCCAGGGCCCCGTGAAGGTGGTGTGCGTGCAGTAGTGATCCCGGAGATGAGGCAGCTGGGACCCCGGCGGTTGCTATGGAGGGGGAAGGACAGAGGGACGAAGAGGACTCGGTGGCCCAGCACAGAAGGTGTGGGAGGGGCAGTCAAGGATGCCAGAAGGTTCTGGCTGGGGACCGGGGGGAGGGGGGGTGTCACTCATCACCACAGTAACAGCTACCACCTCCTGGGCCCCCGGGGCCTTGCACGCCTGCCTCTAACCCTCCAACAGGAAGGCGGGCACCACTTCGGCCTGGGCAAGCAAGGGGTGGGTTGGGATTCCCTGAGGGCCAGGACGGGAGGGGGCAGGTGGGCAGGGAGGGCCCTTCAGGATCTCTTGCAGGAGCTCTGAGAGGACAGGCTGCGAACAGGGCCTGGCTGAGCAGAGGGGGTTTCATCCTGACTTCTGAGGGTTCCTCCTGTTCACCCCCTGCTCTTTAGCCGCCAGTGGGGGCTGCGAGGAAGGGCCTGCCCTCGAGAACCCTGCAGTTCTGTCACGGGACCTCAGGCAAGTCGCAGAACTTGAGTTTCCAGACCTTCCATGTCCTCTTCTGCAAAGCAGGGGGACTCCAGCCTCGCCTGAGGCTGTCATGACGCGAGCTCACCACGTGCCCAGGACTGGCCGGCTCGGGCCTCGGGGACAGGAGCCTGCTCCGACCCCTCCCTTCCGCCCTGTCCTACCTCGCGTCTCTGCGGCAGCCGGGGGGCAGCTCCGGTGGGCTCCAACTCCTCATGAGCGGAGAGCAGGGGCCCCATCGCCCATCGGGTGACGAGGCTCGGTCTCCGCCTTCCTGAGCTGGGCAGAGCGGGGCTGCGGCAGCAGGCGCCCGCCTCGCTCCTCCGACTCCGAGGGTCCAGTGCCCAGAACGGGCGCATTTCTGGACGAGCCTTACCAGGGTTCAGTGTATGGGGCTGTGGCAGCCCTGGCAGCTCTTTCTCGCCTTGCCCTTTCGACTCAGGCCACCCCAGGGAGGGTGGAGGGCCCCACAGGGATTTTAGTGCCACAGGCCGGCTGGGACTCCTTTGGTAACTATGACTCTAGGAGCCTCCGTGTCCGCTGCAAAATGCAACGGGGAGCCTCATCCCGCTCGCGGGACGTCCGGAGAGGGGCATGTTATCTGCAGGCACCGTATGAGCAGAGCACAGGGCCCAGGAAGTGTGTTCACAGCAGCCCAGGTGATGGACGGTCGCTCATCTGGGTCCAGCCAGCCTGTCTACACCAGGGAAGCCCAGGCCACAGCGTGGCGGGTTTTGGGGAAAACCCTGAGGGGTTCAGGTGCTTCAAATCCCCAACCTCTTTCTTTTGCAGGGGACATAATAACCCTTTGGGCAGCAGTCCGGTGCCTGGGATCTCGCCCAGCTCCAGAGCTGGTAAATGCTGACGGAGACACGGTCGCACCACTGACGGGAGCGTGAGGCACACACGGCTCTGAGACGGTCACACTCACGAGATCAACTGTTTATTGATTTTTTTCCTAAAATACTATCCATTTAAAGAAACTCCTAACTGAAAAGACTTGACAATTTTTGGTAGATCTGTAGCAAAGGAATGAGGATTTCTGCTGGTAAGTTTTCATGACAAAACAGACACACACCCACTTTCCAAGCAAGACCTCAAGCTCACTGGAAACGTTGAGAAAATGCATAGCTTGTGATGGCGGCGGCCATTCCAACAATGTCTGAGTTACACAAAATAAAGGTTTTCCCTCCTTCCCTCCCTCCCCTGCCCTGTCATTACAGTGTGGCTCCTGCCCCAGCACGTCTGCTCCCGATGACCACGGCTGCTCAGAAGAGACCCGCGTGCTCTGGGGTGAGACCCAGCTTTCGTGCACTCACGAGGAATAAAGGAGGACTGTGGACCCTGCGGCTGCCGCAAAGACACGGGAGTTTGTACAGTGTTCTGCTACGGAAAGGACTAAGGCTAGTCAGAAGGTGGACCCACAGCTGGCCGGCGAGGACACGCTTCCCCACAGCTGTCTCCACTGCAGAGGCCCAGGGCCGCGTCCCGAGCCCAGAGGAGGCCTGGCCCACCGGCCAGGCCTGTGCCCGAATGTCACAGTCTTCAAGCAGTTCAGTTAAACCCACTGTCAAAGGCCGTTACGTCTCGTTAAAACAGTAGGCAAACTCTTTAGATTCTCTGAATATCAAATAATATATACAGATATACACCAAGAGAAGACAGTCTGATGTAAAGCATCTTCGGCTACAGATGCGTGTGCTTGAAAAGTTAGTCTTACTTTTTAACCTTCCAAATCACTGACAAAATCGTTAACCGGCAAGAGTAGAATCTTAAACACAAATAGGATGAAAATAGCTTTTAAATATGGCGACGTGGGGAGTGCGACGTAAGGTTATCCCCGAAACTCATGGAGGACACCCCGACGCGGACAGCATTCACGGCCGTGTCCAGCCTGATGCGCTCCTGCCTTCCCACCGCTCTCTCTTGCCTCCCAGGCTGCCCGCCCCTCTCGATGAGCCGCGGCAGGACCTACCGGGCAGCACGGGAACAGACCCCTCCCCGCAGGACTGGTGTATATCAATCTGTGCCATCGTTTAAGCATAAATGAGTGGGAGAACAGGCATGTAAAAAAAGCATCACTGTACACAGCCTTTAAACGAAGGACCTCAAAGTCCTCACTCGAGTGAAGCGTCCACTTGAGTTGCGGGTGAGGAGACTCGTCGGAGAAAGTCATCGGCGGAGCGAGGATCAGCGGAAGCCACTGCCGACTCGGAGGAGGAAAGGAGGAAAGACGAGGGCGAGACTACGCAGATCCGTGAAAAGCCAGCACAGCACGCACAGCGGGCGGGACGGGGGCCGGGGCGCTTTCCGTCCTACTGTGGCTTCCTGCGCTCAGACCTCTCTGTCGGCACCGCGTGCGGGAAGGGTGCCGAGTCCCGGGTGAAATGACCGGCTCGTCCGCCTTCGAGAGACACCATGAAGCCAAGAGCAACGGAACCGCCAGCTTTTGCAGGAAAAGGAGCGGACGCTCACACGGCCGGCTGGTGCCGGGGGTGTCGCTGCCCGGGCCCGACGGCCGACGGAGCTCCCGGGACCGCTGCCTCCAGCCTCCGCCAGCCAGCCGGCTGGCCCGTCACTGGATTGCCTCGACGTAATTCGCGGGGTACAGGCCGACCTGTCCGTTGTCCAAGCGTCCCTTGCACCAGCCCTGCTCATCCTCGTCCTCGATCTTGGTCAGCTCGTCCCCTTCAAGACAAGAAGGGAGCGGTCCTGGTGAGCGGGTGGCTGACAGGCTGACCGCCCGGTTAGAGTCGCCCTCGTGGCTCAGCCCCCACCCTGGGCCCACAGAGGGTCTCGGACCTGGGGGGAAGGGGCAGGCGTTCTCTGGGGGACAAAGCAGGGCCTGCGGCCTGGTTATTTCTCTACCAGGTTGCATCTGAAGCCGTCCTTTCAGCCACAGGGGCCTCTGAGAGGTGTCATGGCTGCCATCTCTCAGTGACCCTAAAACAAGCAGCTCCCACAGACACTGCAGAATTAAATGCCACAGGCCCGTGCTTCCTGACTGTCCCAGGCCAGGTCAGAGGAATCCTTTCCGAGGGTCCACACCACCCCTCCTCCACCCTCTCCTGCTGTCCTCCCTCCTGGGCCCTGGCCCACTCGGTCTGGTATCTCCTCCAGCACTTACTGCCCTGCCTCATGCTTTCGTTTCATCTGTGTCCAGAGCAGGCTGTGGGAAGGGCAGGGACCCATCACTCGGTCCCCAGCGCCCAGCTCGGGGCATTTGTCCTCAACCCCCGTCCAAACACTGTGAAATGGAAGCCATTCGCCGCGTGTGTTAACGTGGCTGGTGCACGTCTGGTCTGTTCGGACACGGAGGAACCACGAATTCAAGCCAGGCCCCGGGCAGTGGAGGAGATATACTCATGAGAGGGGACAGAGGGAGGCCCGGTCCTTCCAGGAGTCAGACCAGGGGGATGAAGACCAAAGGTGGGGTCGGGGCCGTGGTGGGGGAAGGTCCAGGCCTGGCGGCCAGAGGGGGCCAGAGCCAGGGGACGGGCGAGGAGCCACCTTGCGGAGACGCCGTGGGAACCCGCAGCCCGGAACTTCCCGGGAGCGGGGAGCCTGTGGGAGCTGGTCGGCCCGGCTAGGAGACCCGGCAAAGCGCCCTGCGCCTGGGCCCGGTTTCCTCATCTGCAGACCGGGTGCCGGGAGGATTAAGCGTCAGATCGGGGAAGGGCCGGGTGGTGGCCGATATGCACTGAGCAGCTGCCGTCACTCCCATGTGGGGGTGGTTTTTCCTGCAGCCGCTGCGCCCAAGATGGGCACCGGGGCCGCTCTGTTAGCACCGGCCCCTGTGCAACTCTGACTCGGCAACATCAGCAGCAAACACGGGGCGGAGGTGAGCGTCGCGAGCGGTAAACTCCACCTTCTCCTGTCCTTCCCGCCCCCCACTGTGGGCTCCTGGCAGGGCCGACGCTTCTACAACTGGCTTTTCCCTCATTCCGCCTTGTGTGCCGCCAGGCTCGCGGGTGCACGGCGAGGCCAGCTCTGTGACACTCGCACGGGGTGGCAAGGGCGCCAGGGAGAGGCTCCGGGGGCACCTGAGACCCCGAGGAGCAGCGAGCGCCAGCACAAGGTACAGACAGAAGGAAGCGGTGGCAGCCGGGGGCAGACGTCACGTTACAACTAACACAGAAAACAGACACGGTGAAGAGGGCAGCTTTCGGGCTGTGAAACATGAATCGGTGATTAAAAGCATGGGTTTCAGTCAGTGTGCTTTTATCAATTCACTCAGAGCAAAAGAGAATGTTTGTATCTAAAAGCTGTTGGCAAATCCAATAGGTGGGACTCAGAAAGAATTAGGAATTAAGAATGATTAAATCAAGGGGGTGCCTGGGTGGCTCAGTCAGTTAAGCGTCTGACTTTGATTTTGGCTCAGGTCATGATCTCACTATTTGTAAATTCGAGGCCCACAATGGGCTCTGCACTGACAGGAAGGAGCCTGCTTGGGATATTCTCTCTCTCTCTCTCTCTCTCTCTCTCTCTGTCTCTCTCTCTCCCTCACTCTTTCTCTCTCGCAATAAATAAACTTAAAAGGAAAAAAAAATCAATGAACAGATGAAGTAAGGGGCTAATGACCACTAGATCTCAGAAACTGGGCAGAGATGCGTTATGGTGCTTAAGGACTCTCTACAAGCGGCCAGGGGCACCTGATGACCAACCCCGGGCTCGAGGGTGTGGGGCCAGCTGCCGGCCTGCCGAGCACACGACACGGCCCTCCGCCCCACAAGCTGGGCACGGGGGTCCGTCCCAGTGCACACTGCAGCCTGCGCTGGTTGAGCTCATCCACCTAGAGGGGTAGGTGCTGGATCTGGGGTGTCTGTGAGGAGGGAGCAAGGCAGAAGGAAGGAGCTTGGCTCTCTGTGGGCCCACGTCTGTGGGCCTCCTCTGAAAGGCTCTAAGATAGGCTCTTTCAAACTGAGGGTTGCAACCCATTTTGGCAAATTGCAACCAGCATTAAAAAACAAACAAACAAACAAACAAACAAACAATAAAAGACAAAGGCTAGAAAATCTGCAGCACAGGGCTCCCGTAATCTGGATCCAGACTGTTCTGTAAAACAGAAGTTTCCGCTACTGGCAACAAAGGTGTGCTGGTGACAGAACGCATACGATGTGGCCGCAGGAGTAAGTTCAAAAGGCACTACCCTAAAACGGGACTCCAGGTGGCCCAGGGGCACACCGAGTGCTATTCTGGGGTCTGGGCCAGGAGGCTGGCTAAGGGCTCCTCTGCCAGCTGGGGGCGTCTCTGGAGATAGGCTTCCCCTGGGGACCCCCAGGGCTGCTGGGAAAACTGGCTGGTGCTGGAGACCAGCATGTCCTGCCCAGTGCCCCGCTGTGCCCGGTCCTCGGTCCTGCAAGGGGTGGCGCCTCAGGCAAAGGCACCAGGGCACCTCATGCCTTCTAACGTGTGGCACCGAGCACCTGCTGCTTTTGAAATGTGGCGGGGAGGACCGGCAAACGAAACTTGCAGGAGTTTCCCAGACTTAGAAAAACAAAGACACCCCCTAAACCCTAAGCCCCTAGCAGGTCGGAAGCATCCGCCCCAGATGCCCGCCAGGAAGCCCACTTACCAGCCTTGAAGCTCAGCTCGTCATGCTCCTGCCCTTCATAGTCATAGAGGGCCCGGACCCGCACTTCTGTCCCCGAGGTGGCATCCTCGTCAAATGGGTTTGAGTCCCCGTTGGCGTCCGTGGACGAGAACGGGTTGTTGGACTCGTCATCTGACCAGTCAGTGGGGTAGCTCTGGGTCTTCTCGTAGCTGCTCACGCTGCAAGAAAGGAAGGGTTGACCCGGCGCCCTGAGCACGGGGCCGGCAGAGGCACGAGGCCCTGCCTGGAGCCTCACCCCTGCCAGGGGAGGCCGCAGAGCCCTGGGGCCGGGCAGGGGGCTCCTTTGGCAGGAGAGGAGCCCCTCGGCACACCTGTCTCCCTGTGGTGGTGGCGCGAGGGCCTCGATGAGGGTTAGCAGAGTACAGAAAAGAAGCAAGCACGGATTATTAACGGATGCCCCCCCGCCCAGAGAAAGAGGAGCCAGAGGCTGTCCACACCGGCAGCCGGGCACCTCCTGCAGGCCTCGTGCATTGCTCGGAGTGCCAAGGGGGCAGGAGCCTGGACAGAGAGAGACGAGAGACAGAGAGCGAGCAAGGTGGAAACCGGAGGGAAATGTTTGTTCACCAACTTTTTGGCCTTAACGTCCTCCTTCTCACTGACGGTGCTCCCCGTGTCGTCCTCGTCCTCGAAAGGGTTGTAGTTGGACAGTGACTGTGCTGACCGTGTGGGGTTGCTCGGGACACTAAGGTCACTACAGGGAGAGAGACAGCTTTCAGGGGACCCCAGCTCGGCACCCCGCCCGGGGCCTGCATGCTCCCAGCTGCAGGATCACAGGGCCAGGGTCTGAAAGGACACATCGGCCACCCCCGCCCCGGATAGGAGGATATGTTGTTTGAGTGGGAAGATGGTCTTAGCAAAAACACTTAGTGATATTCTGGTGGCTAAACACACTTACGGCGTCTAAGAGAGAACGACATGCCATTTCCCCTCCTTGCCTCTGGACACTGGCTATCCTGAACAGGAGCCCTGGGGTCGGGACAGGCTGCCGCTGGAGCACAAGTCATGTCTGGGCTTTCGGCTTCTCCCCACAGCCCCCCAACCTGGCCCCCGTTCCCGATGCTGTGAGCTGGCGGGCCAGCCTGAGGGGCTCAGCCTGGGGAGCAGACAGCCTGGGAGGCTCAGAGCCCTGCTGCAGAGAGCAGGAGGGAGGCCCCTGGCCCTCGCCAGACCCCACAGCACAGCACTCTCCTCCTTCTGACTACAAAGGGTCCGGTGGCCTCCTCCCCACTTCTGGGGTTAGAGCTTCCAAAATTGGCACCAAAGCCTACTGAAGCCCTTTCCAAGCCCTTTCCAAGAAGAAAGAAGGAGCCCTTTCGTGCTCCACAGAGAGAACATCCATCTGCACAACTGTATCAGCCGCCTACTGGGTGCCAGGCCCAGAGGGGACAGACTGGAGAGCCCAAGCCCGGCCCGGGGGCCAACAGCCAGGACGCAGTGACTGTGGGCACAAGGCGCAGAACAGGATGGCCAAGAAACGAGACAGGCCCCTAAGAGCCCCGGCACCTGACTGTGGAATTAAGCTGCAGGGTGGGGCTTGTGGGGCCAGCACCGCCTCCTGCCGCCAAGTAGGGGACTGTGTGCGGTCGGCACCCACAGCGCTGGATGGATGGCCCAGACAGAGGGGGGGGGGGGGGGGGGCGGCAGGGCACAAATGCCACCAGTGACCCCAGGTGGCCAGTCACTGCCTCAGTGGCCTGGCGAGGGGCACCGGACCCAAGCCTGGGCTGTATGCCTGAGGCCAGCAGGCCCTCCTCCCTCCCTGGCACCTTTCTCTTTCTGTAGGGGGCTGGTGCTGAGCGGCCCCGGCTGCCTAGACTCTCCCACGCCCTCCTCCCCGACCCCTGGGGTGGTGTCTCACCCTCCACACCCCTGCGCCAATCACACAGGTGCTGGCCTGATCCCTGGGACAGCTCATACTGCTCTGGCCACTTCACCAAGTTCACCTGTCCAGACGGAGGCACAGCCATCTGAATGGTGAGCCATCACGTCTGCCCAGGAAGCCCGGGTAGGAGCTTCAGTGCCCGGGGATGCAGAAAGGGCTCCGGAACCTTCACGGACCCTCCCAGGAGGCACAACCGTGAGGTCTATCATTACCGTTGTGGCAAGGAAGCCTCTGGGTGCGGAGCCCGTGCGGCAGGAGTGGCCTCTGGGAGGGGCAGCTCTGCAGAGGACAGCAACACCTGCCCGCCGGGACGCGGAGGCCCGGGGACAGGCCTCGTCCAGCACACACTTTCCCAGAGGTTCCAATGACCTCAGCATCACCTCTTCTATCCAAACTAGGTTTCAGCAAACAGTGACGTGGGAAATAAAATAACCAACGCTCTCACCAAAGAGGTGACATGTGGGGGCCTGGGTGGCTCAGTCGGTTAAGCGTCCGACATCGTCTTGGGTCATGCTCGCACTCCGTGGGTTCAAGCCCCACGTCGGGCTCTGTGCTGACAGCTTGGAGCCTGGAGTCTGCTTCAGGTTATTTGTCTCCCTCTCTCTCTGCCCCTCCCCCACTCACATTCTGTCTCTCTCGCTCTCAAAAAAAAAGGGGGGGGGTGGGACACGTGACAATGCTGTCCTGTGCTGCCCCCCACTCCCAAATCAGGCCCCTGCACGGCTTTGGGGGAAGCAACCTGGGGATCTTGGTCCCACCCCGGAGGAGCCGACAGCGACTTCTACCTGCCCGTGTGCCAGTGGAGATCCACAACGACCAGCCCCTGACATCAGCTCCCGCCCTCACTTGGGGCCAGAAGCATGTCTGTGGCAAAGGCTCCCTTCTCTGGGTCCTTCCACAGCTCTGGCACCAGGTGAGCTGATGATCCTTCCCAGGGATGCCCTTGGGCCACTACCCAGCAGAGCTTGGATGCCCTGGAAGCATCTGGAAAGACGTATGTGTGGGGCTCCCTACAAGGCTTCACTGGGGAGTGTCCGGCCCACGCAGAGGACCCAGGGGACCTATCCCAGGGGACGGAGGCTGCCCCAGTGCCCACCTGCTGGGCTTGCTCTGCAGAGCCTGATCGCCTGTCTGGTTGATGCCCGTCAGGGTGACCCCGTCAGTAGCCTTCTTCTTCTCTCTCCGGCTGAGAGTTCGATTCAGGTCTGCGGACCACTCCTGGGCAGCAGGCACCGAGGGAGAGAGACAGGGAAGTTCATTAGTTTGAGGCCACGTCAGTCTAACACACCGGCCAGCCAGCCAGTGGCCCGCCCTGCCTGGTTAGTGACACGTAGCCTCGCTGCCTCGATTTTGCCTTGTTTTCCAGCCGACCTCAGGTTCCTGGCACCTTCCTACTCCCCCCTCCTCACTGCTAAAGGTGGGGACTTGGGCCTGTGGTGGCCTGGTCTCGGGAGGAGAGTTTGGCCAGCCAGCACGCAGGTGTCCAGGGAGCCTCCCCATCCGGCCCCTGCCCACGTGGCACTAAGCCTCCGGCCACCTCAAGCCACCAGGGGTCGCCAGAGGCCTCGCCAGTTTCCTTGAGCCTTCCAAATTAGCTCTTTCAGCAAAGATCCTTCCCATTTATTCCCTAAAGTGTTTCTGGCTCCCAAGGGAACAGGAGGGCTGGCTACAGGACTCTGAGCAAGCCTGCAATGTGGGGACCGCACCACGGGGTGCAAACGCACAGGGCCTGGATGTCACATCACCAAAGGGGCAGATAAGCCGGCTCGACCTCGCAGGTCTCCGGGAGTGGCTCCCTCACTGGTAGCACGTGCTGTGGGGCTAACCGAGCAAAGAGTCGACTCCCCAAAGGTTCCCTAGTTTCCCAGCACGTAAACAGCTTTTATCAACTGCACTGAGGGACACTGGAAGTGGGGAAAAGGAAGAAGGGCCGTCCCTAACACGTGTCCCTAACACGATCTTACAGAAAGGCAGGTAACCCCACCCGTTACCAAACCACCTCCACTGAACTCACCCTTGGTGGGACCGAGGCCACAGCGTGGCCCACATGTACCTGTAGAGCCTCCAGATTAGAAGGCATCTTAGAAACACCAAGTCTAACCTGTCACCTTGTCAGATGAGGAAACTGAGGCCCAGACAGAAAACGTGACCTTGGCCACACAGAGTTGGTGGCAGACTTGGGCCTGACTCCAGATCCTGGTCACCTATTTGTTGATAATTATCTTCTCAACCAAAATCAGCTGACTCAGAGAGACCCGTCCCGACTGGGTGGGTTCCCCAGGGCCCACGTAATCGACACCAGGCCGGCTGGGGAAGGAGGGCCGGCCGTTCACGAGGACAATGACCAGCACGGGCAGAACTGCTGCCTCAGCTCCTCTGCCGGCACCAGGCTGTGGAGCCCACACGCAGCCCACGCGGGCTGGACACACACGGCACAAGGTTTGGAATTCAATACATTAGCCAAAGAACAGAAACTTACTTCATCCTGCGGCATGGAAAATAAAAACAAATAATTTCATTAGACCCTGTAATTTCATGACCCTGGAAGAACCATTAAGCACATGCCACGTGGGGTGCTGCTTCCCGGCCTGCAGGATCCACAGACAGAAGGGCCACGGTGCGCTCTGGCCGGGACACCCACCCCAGTGGGACGGCCTGTCAAGTCTTCCTTCCCCGACCATTCCGTTCCCTAAGGGACTGGCGGGAGGTGACCTCCTGAGCCAGCTCCCGAGAGCAGCACGCGCCCCTACGGCAGCTCTGTCCACAGGACACAGGTCAACTCGGTTCCTCCCCATGCACTGCATACTGGGGAGGGCAGGGAGGCTACGTGCTTTCTCCTGTAGGTCCGCTTCCACCCTGGAGGGCCCTGGGGCTCTGCTTTGTGCAGGTGCCTCGGAGGAAGGGGCCCAGTCTGCTCTCGGCCTCCTACTGGGAGAGCTCCTGCAGACAGTGCAGGGGGCCCGCCCAGCTTTCTTCAGAAGCTCCAGAAGATGGAGGCACACGTATGAGGCCTGACACAACGGCCAGCACAGACCAGGTCACGACCCCCAGCTGCCCGAGGAGATGGGCGCCCGTGGTCCTCCCCATTTGATACGTGGGAACAAATGACTCGCTCAGCATCCCACAGCTGGTAAGTGGTGAGGCCAGACCTGAGCGTAGCCTGTACCCTGGCAGCTCTGGAGGCAGGGGAGGCCGCTCGGCCCTCGCGCAAGGCGTCCTTCCCAGAAGGCAGCACCCGCGGGCCCGCAAAGCCTTTCCCGGCCCCCGCTTCATCACAAGGCGCGGAGAATCCCTTCCCTCAGAGAAGGAGGGTGGCAGGACTCACGTGGGGCCCGATGGGCCCTGGCGACCGAGTCCTGTGTCTGGAAGAGACCCGAGGGCCTCAGGGCCTCCCGTTTTACATGTAAAGATACTGGAAGGCTCGGACCCAGGAAATCAGGAAAAGAGGAAAGTTAACCCTGAACCAAAATTGGTTGAATTTCCCGTCTGAAACAAGGCAAAGTGCCTCGTGTGAGGGGGAAGAAGAGCCCACTCTCCACCCCGTCCTGGACCAGAGGCCTGCCAAGCCCAGCTGCACGGTGGCTGCTCCCTTCTCAGCCGTCTGGCAGGGTGGGGCGGGGAACTGGGGCCCCCGCGTGACCTGTGGGTCCTGGCACTCACCACCAAGAAGAGAATGCCGGTGGTCACCCAGTGACCGTCCGAATTCTTAACGAGAAGGGTCTTTACTGAGATTCAGAAGGCCCTTCAGTAGTGCCCGGGGGACTCTGAACATGAAGCTGGTTTCTAGAATAGCCATGCTTAAAGGCTGCCCCACAAACAGGGCAAAGGCCAGCACAGAGTTGAATGAGAAAGTCAGCACATGTCTCAACCTCACGGGCCCAGGCCCCTGCCGGACCAGCGGGGTCACGGGCACAGCCTCCTCTTACCTCAAACTGCGGCCAGTTCATGGACATGCCTGGCCCGTGGTTGGCTCTGAACCACCTCAGGTCCTCCACTGCGTCAGCGGCTTTGATGCTCTGTTCCAGGTCGCGGTAAATGTTCTTGTAGCTAAATCAGAAAGAGGAGACAGGACCGTCTTGGAAGGCAGGGAAGGCTACCGTTCATCCCAGCCAAGGGCCGGGCCACAGCAGGCACGTGGTCTCCAGCCACACTAGAATCAGCTTCATAGTACGGACCAGGAGGTGCTGCCTGGGTCGGCGGGATGGTCCCCTGGCCTCCGCGTGCACAGGAGACAAACAACGATCACGGTGCGTGAGCCACAGCTTTGGCTTCCCACAAATTGGCTTTTTGTCGTTATTTTTTATTTTTTGGCAGGGAGGGGCAGAGAGAGAGGGGGGCACAGGGGGTCCGGAGTGGGCTCTGCACTGACAGCACGGAGCCCCACGCGGGGCTCGAACTCACGAACCGTGGGATTGTGACCTGAGCCGAAGTCAGATGCTCAACCGAGCCACCCGGGGGACCCTTCCCACAAACTGGCTTTTAAACCAAACGGGCCGGGGCCTGGCAGCAGACTGACTGCCCGCTGGGAGCACCCTCTGTCCTAGAGCCTCAGAGGGAGCACGGCCCTGCGACACCTTCCCTTCAGACGTCCCACCTCCCAACCATGAGAGAGTAAGTTTCTGTTGTCCTAAGCCACGGGTTTTTGGTATTCTGTCACGACAGCCCCAGGGGGCCACTTGCCATCTACTCCCCAGGGAGGCGAGCCCCCCGCCTCCCTCCCCTCCCCAGCCAGCGGTGCAGCTCCTGGCAAGTCACGCTCCACAGCCGGCCTCCGTTTTGTCGCCAGTGAGATGGGAAATAGTGCCTCCCACTGTACCGACTCTCCTAAGGACTAATGAATGCCGGCAGGGTAGCCCCGCGAGGACTGTTTCTATTGTGTCACACAGGAGACAAAGAGAATGTAATTTCCTGCGAACGACAAGCCTTAACTTGTGAGTCCTTTCTGAACGGCTCTGCTATATGGATGGCTGAAGTCCACGTCCACAGTTAGCCCGGACCTCTGTCCCAAAGGAGGCATCACGGGACCAAGGACAAGGCGAGTGTGGAAGAAACACCGCGGCGTCCACGTCATGGTTCAGAGCTGAGTCTCTGAGGGCCCGTGCCGTCCAAGGGCCACTGAGAAGTCCAGGGCTGAGCAGGCGGCCAGCTGCTCTGGATGGAAGGGCCTCGCGGCAAGGTGGTCCTGAGGGTGGGGCACCCCAGCCCGGGAAGCACGGGGAAATGCTCCTGGCTTGATTTCAGATACGCCGCTGTGGTCGGTCCAAGCCGTGGCCCTCCCTTCCTACCCTGGCCCAGAGCGCGTTCGTGGAGCTGGCGGTGCGTGGCCCGAGGCCCCCCGGCTCAGGCCAGCCGTGGGCCATCAGCTGCCACAGGCAGGGGGAGGGGAGGGGAGTACACCACACAGGCCGACCCCGTGGCACAAGACCCTCCCCGGACAGGAAAACTCAGCGGGGAGGAGGTCTTGGGACAGACACGGCCACCCCCAGCCCTGGTCTGGAGAGCAGTTACTGAGCTGCACGCAAAAGCCACTTTCCACTGACCACATGGTGACGTGCTCCCTCTCTAAACGGGAACTCACCTGGCCACATTCGACAAGTCTAGGTGCTTCTGAACTTCCAGCAGGACTTCCCGGAAGAAGCGCAGGCGCTTTTCCTCAAACTGCTGGCACTGCTCAAACACCTGCTCCATGTTCTCCATGTACTGGGGGGTGCCCTGGTCGAGCTCCTTCAGCGACTTCTCATACTTCTCTTTGGTCTACAAGAAAGGCCGGCACCACGGGACGAAGGTTCATCTCCGCTCACCCCGGCTCCCTCTGGCACAGAGAAAGCCAGCCGGGCTCTGCGCCACCCTGTTCCTCACCCGCCTTTGTCCCTTTCCGCCACTTCTGGCGTCATCGGCATCTAGACTCGTCAGGTGACAATATTCGGGCAGACGCTTTGAGGGACTTCATGGGGAGTAAGCAGGGTGAGGAGCTGGGACCCAGCGTCCAAGGATCGACTTCCTCAACGCCCCTCAGGTCCCAGCCCACGGGACTTCCGCTCCACGCCTGATCCCAAAGGGGACACCCACCCGAGCTGGGCGGGGAAAACACTGGGCAAGACACCCTTCCCACCCCCACGTGGCCAGGCCCCCCCAGGCTCATCGCCCAGGCCTCTACAGATTCCAAAGCACAAAGAGCACAAGCTCTGGAGTCTCACAGACTCCACTTTCAAATTCAAGTTCAAGTCCAAGCCCCCCCACTTCTGAACTGCAAACCATACTCTTGGCATCTGCTGGGCCTCTCAGCGAGAACCAGCCCAGACAGGTAGATGCTGGGGAAGGGGTGTTCACTCTGGAGCCCAGGGTGCGTGGTCTCGAGCACCAACCACTGCCACGCTGACTCCCACCCACATCATCTACCCGTGTCCTCTCTCCCCGGGGAAGGGCTACCAGGTCACCCACGCGCCTCGGACCTCACCCATGACAGCGGTGACTCAGAAGTTATGTCAGAGGCAAGATCACGGGGTTGAGTGCCAGACAGACCTGGGGGTGGGTCCTGGCACCCCATTTTCTGACAGCCCCACTTTCCTTCGCAGAACATGAGGTACAGGCAAACCTTGTCTTATCGTGTTCCACGGGTATTGCATTTTTTCACAAACTGAAGGTTTGTGGCCACCCTGCGTGGACCAAGTCTATCGGTGTCACTTCCCCAGCAGCATTCGCTCACTTTAGGTCTCTTGTCACATTTGGGTGACTCTCGTAATACTTCAAACTTTTCCGCTATTATTACTATTACTATTATTATGACGTTTGTCATGGTGATCTGTGACTAATGATGACTCCGTGAAACCTCAGTTGATGGTTAGAACTTTTTAACAATAAAATATTTAATTAAGGTACGTACGTCGTTTTTAGACGTAACGCCATTGCACACTTTGTAAATTACACTATAGTATAAACGTATCTTTTATATGCACTGAGAAACCAAGACAGTCATTTGACTTGCTTTACTGTGACACTCCCTTCGTTGCGGCGGGTCCAGAACCAAAACCCCAGGGCCTGCACTTCTACTTCGACATTCTGGTATTTAAATGAGGTAACACAAGATGGGCACCAAGTTGCACAAAGCAGGAATTCAAAAAGTTCTGGGCCCCTTGTCCTCCAGCCCACTACACTCCCCTACACAGCTGTTCCTTCAGAGACTGTCCTGAGAAGGGATTTTACCAGAAAGGAAGTATGATAGGACCACGGTAGTATCCTGGGGCAAATGGAGGGACAGCAGAGCTGGGGTGATATTTCCGATAAGCCCTTCCAGCTGGGGCCATATTTACTGTAAACCTTTCCACTATGGAGATCCTGAGACATGAGGGTGATCACGGACAGGTGGGCTGGCCATGCAGGAACTTGGCTTTTCTGGTCCTGATGATAGAGTGGGCTTCCAAGAAAGGGCTGAGCCTCCCTGAGCCGTTACAGGCCGCCTCGCCTTGAGGATCAAGGCCATGCCTTGGGACCCCGCCTGTGGGTCTCCCGCAACCTCGGGGGCAGCTTCTCTGCCCCCGCTCGAGACCCCAAGTCTACTCACTGTCTACACTGCTTCCCTCCCAGACACGCTTCTGTGACTCATGCCCTGGAAAACTCCCCTTTATGCCCCAGGGATCTCTCTTCTCAAAGACTTCCCCAACAGGCCCCGTCCACTCCCTGGAACAACCCCCTGCCCCCTCCCGTATCTACCGTTCCTTGTCCTGCTTCTGAGCCTCCTGGCTAGGCTTGGGTCCTCTGTGACCCCAGAGAAAGGTCATCCCTTCCAGTTTGGGCATTCCCAGCAGGAACAGAGAGCCACCAACTGCCCTGATTGTTCCTCCTCCTCCTCATCGGCCGCCTGCACGTGTGAGGCCCTGTGTGGGATCACTAGCTCGGAGGCCCAAAGACCTGAAGCTCTAGTTTAAACACCCGGCGCCCAGTGGTACCATCAGGGCGACACAGAGCAACCACTTCTCTGGGATACTTCAACACAGCAGCCTCCCTGGGCACCCTGGGGCACCCGGTGGCGACAAGACGCTCCCCGGGCACGTGGCCCGTGTTCACAAACAGTCCGGCCCCAGCAAAGGCCAGATAGAGGGCGTGATCACCACCACTGGGGAATCCCCAGCACAGAGCACTTAGAAAGTTCCCAGTAAACATCCGTGGAGCAAAACGAGAAGCAGCCTTCGCTCTCCTGTGGACGGTGACCTTTAGCACTGAACGTGAGGAGTTCCTTTCTGATGGATACTGCGAGGTGCAGTCACTGCCTGACCGGTAAGAAATACAGAAGGGCGTGTGCAGCCAGTCAGTGTTAGTTTTTGGAAACCGCTTCAGGAAGGGGAGGTGGGGGTGGGGGTGCCCTCCTCTCTGGGCTGGCTCTCGGCCTACGAGGACCATCGTGCTTCAAGGTCACCGACCAGACCGCAGAGCCAGGAGGGAAATCTCTACAATGCGGCCCAGTCATCCTGACAGGCACCTTACATCTGACCTCGGACCCTGGGTCTGTTTTGCCGAAGCATCGACTTAGTGAACTCTGTTCGGAGCGGCTGGAAATAAAACAGGAAAGGTATGTGTCTACGTCTCCCTCACACCCACACCCTGACGCAGAGACGGCGCATCTCTCCTCTGGGCACCATCCTGGGCACCTGGCAGAAGCGGCCCTCAGCACCCCGCCGGCCTCACATTCCTGGAGCCCAGGTGCCCTCCCTATTCGGCGCGTGGCCCCAGGCTCCTGACCCGATCCCACAGCGGAGGCAGCAGCTGCTCTAAAACCCCACATTCCTGGCCCTGCCCCAGGCCCAGAACCAGGAGCGGGGAGTGGGGGCTTGCTCCCCAAGAGGCTCCGGTGCTCGCTCTGAGGGATGGGCTCTTCCACAGATGACATTCTGCACGACCCTGCCCCCTCGCTACGCTGACGACAGAGCAGCGAGGAGCGGAGAGAGGGGGTACGGGCCGTCCCCCGCTCACACCACCAGCTGGAACAAGACTGAGCCTCTCCCAACGCAGTTTCCTCAGTCACACACAGAGATGCCACCACCTAAGTCCCCGGGCTCAGTGGTGCTCACCCAAACCGGACACGGTGGAGGGTGTCCACGGAGCAGCTCAGGGCTCCTGCTTCCCCTCGGCCTCACGTCCTGTCCCGGCCGCAGGGCCTCTCCACTTCTCTGCGTCTCTCTCTCCCCAGACGCAGGCTGGCGTCTCCTCGCTCAGCCCTGCCGCAGAGCAGCCCCTGACGGCCCCGGCCCCCTGCACCCTCACCGCACAGCAGAGGCGGTGGCCCGGGGCCTCGCTCACGTCAGCTCTCACCTCCTGGGAACTTTCAAACGACGTGAACCTGTCCAGCGTTGGCACCGCGTGCCCCGGGCCTTCCGGGCAGGATCACTCTGGCCTCCGCAGGCGCCCTCACGGTCACACCGCCCTCCCGTCCGCTCTCTGATCCACGGCACTGCACAGAGGGCACCCAGGATGCCACGCTGCCTGTGCGCCTGCACCTCTCCGGGGCCTTCACTGCTGGGCCCTGCTCCCTTGACCCCGTCTATGGCCACAGTGCCCTGGGCCTTCCAGGCACTCCCGTCCTGCCATGGGACTCCTGCCCCTCATCACCAGAGCAATCCCTGTAAGCTATGGTCCTCCTCCACACCTGTGCCCTTCCCAGGTTCTGGAACCTTCTTTCAGTGGCTCCCTGTTAGCAGCGTCAGAAGCTCCTCACCACCTGCCTTGCAAGACCACTGGCAATTTGGACATCATAACCCCATGCCAGCTCAGACGTCAGCTCCCTGCCACTGACGTTCACGCCTCCACGTCCCGCACAAGCTGTTCCCGCCTGGCTGGCAGCAGCCCCACCGCCCTTCCCGAAGCGGAGGAATGGCCCGTTCCCCTGCCTGTCCAGCACTTGCTTCCGCCCCGGTCCTGAGCGGGGCACGGGGGGCCGCAGGAAGGGGCTCACTGTGGAACTCTCTCGAGGGCAGCACTAGGTTCCGCTGCCGTGGCACCTCCCCCCGCATCCGCTCCAGCGGCGACAAAGGCTGTGGGCCAGACAGGTGGCCAGCTGAGGCACGCGCGTTCAGCGTGGAAAAGCTGTGCCCGGTTTACCTTAAGAACATCTTGCTTGCATTTTTCTACTTTGTCTTGCAACTTCTTAAGCTGCTCGGGGTTGAGGGATGGGTCTGCTTTGCTGTTGGTTTCTCGTGACGTGGCCAACTTCTCCTCTTTGCACGCCGCGTGGTAGGCCTTCTTTGCTGCCTCCACCTGCGGGGGGAGGGAGCTCCTGAGCGCCACGTCGGGAGCACAGAGTCCCGACTAGAGGCTCCACAGACTGCTCGCGCCACCCAGACGAGAGGGAGGAGCAGGTGCAGAGCTCTGCGCGCCGCACGATCGCGACAGGGCATCCAGCAGACGCTGGCACGGCGCCTGCCTGGGGCCGGGTGCTCTCCTGGGCACCGGGGGTGCGGCACCCAAGGCACCGGGCTGTCACGGAGCTCTCCGTCCAGCCAGAGAGGCGACTACAAGAGACGGCTGAAGAACAGAGTCAGAGGGTAATGAGTGCCAAGGAGGAGAGAAGAGAGGGGAGGGGACGCCGTGCTGAGCTGCATTCGGAGGCTGGGGAGAGCCGGC